TTGTTTTTCACATAAATGACTTGTGAAAACACTCGCTCCACGAATAATAATAAAAAAGCGGTATCAGCGTTTATTAGGCCGTAGGCCTGTCGCCGATTCTTAACATCGCAGAACATTCACTGTATTATGCGGTCTCGAACTTGTAACTCACTGCTACAATTCTGCTGCCGCTGGATGTGGGAGCTTCTTCGAGTGGAGCGCCCCTTCTCACCGGGGGGCCTGTGCGCAGTGGCGGCGCCCTTCGACGGCCAAACTCCCCGACCTCAACCCCACGGCAATCTTATAAAAACGAGACAGGGAACCACAACAACATTTCTGCTGTGCTTAACCGCCCGGCCTTCTTGCCGATTCTGACCAGAAACTGGCGCACAGAGCTGGGATCGAACCCGCACCTCTCTGCTCCAATCTTGGTACTCTGCTCACGCTCAGTCTGCTGTAACCACTGGGCCACTACTTGACCACAATGCATTGGAAACTGGTATAAGTAGACAAGTGATGCAGCAGTCAGCTAGTTCCCTGAATGGATGATGACTTTCAAGATCAGTGAAATATTAAATGGCACTTCAGAATCGAAGTAACACTTCAATGAGCGGCACTCCAGAATTCAAAGCCACCAAAAACGGTGGAGCTGCAGTGACTCGAATTTACATCTCGAACTAGCATTTCTCTCGAATGTCATAATTAATTGTATTAAACCTTTAAACTCGTGATTATCGACCTCTGTAACAATATCTTACTTAATTATCTTGATCTCGATTATGTATTTCGGATTTCTTCAATTTCATTTTAAACCATTTTAAAAGTGTACAGTTAGTTAATCATCAATTTTGAGCACGAATAGCACTCGTGTAATTACTAAATGACGAAGTTTAGTAAATGTCGAAATTATTTCATGTTAAATCGTACCAAAAATATTGTGAAATTTTTAAAAATGCCAGTGGAGAACCATCTACCAAGCGCGCATCGGAAAGCTAAGTCATTTTTTCTAAACGTGAGTAAACGAGGCCGTGGGGTTAATATCTATACTATACCGGGTGTTGGTCGTGCCGTCATTCTTCAACCCCTCAATAAACATACTAAACCTTCTGATTCTTACTCAAGCCTACGTGATGCCTATGTACTACAAACAATAGGGAGAGGATGAGGACTGCTGTTATCACTTACCTATATATCTCAATTCACACTTCTTAAACGGCCCTCACTCAGTCCTTAATCCCTAAAGAGCTAGCGTCGCAGAGATCAGTTCGACAAACTCACTCGTCAAAGGCCTTGTAATCACTGATTAGTAATCAATCAAGAATCATCACTTTCGTGTTTATACTGCACGAAGCACTTTTGTTAAATGTTAACAATTAGATTGGGTTTATTTCATCAAGCAGTAATCTCGCTGTCCCAATTTCCCAAAAATGGCGGGAAAGCTCTAGTCGCGCGGCCCGAAGGTAATCTATATAATCCACGCCTACGCTGGGGGAAGTTCAAACTTCAGAAGTGGTACTTAATGCAGTAAGTCAGGAAATAGCAAATAAATACCAGATTTAGGTAAATATACCAGATCTAAAATATTCGTACCATTCACCGTCTGATAATACCAGATCTGTGATTCTGGCATTAAAATATACCAGTTGGCAACGCTGGCTCTGAGGCCGGTATGCTGCGCTGCTACTTGGCCTCGGATAGCACAGAAATTGAGAAGATCCGACTCGTTGACGATCTCAGAGTATTAATGCATGGGCACTGAAGCTACGTTTGATAAGCATATCGCGGCGACATTTAACTCTGTCTGGTGATGCTATGGCCTTTTCGGCGATGAGGGTTGGAAAGTAGGGGCCAATGTAGGTACATATGCATTGAGCTAATATAGTGTAATTGTCTGCCTATGTGGTTGGAGTTGCAGTTCCCTAGTGTTGTATGTCTTGCGTTTATATATGCCGGGAAGTAAAAGGAATGAGGCCTAAAACGGAAGTCATTATAGTTCATATAGTCTGCATGTGGTGGGATGTATGTTGTTCTTATCGTAATTAGTTCATGTTGTGTGTGGACAGTGATAGCGAGCATGTCTGTGTAAAAGTTTGTATGGAATTCACCATATCGATATTGAAAACGTTTCGGAGTCCAGCTCCATCATCAGTTCGACTAAACTAAAAATGAATAAAATCACTTTAAAAGTCAAAATTCAAAGACAGACAGACGTTTTCAATATCGATATGGTGAATTTTCTTGGCGTTTTCTTTGCTTTTAAATTCCTTGTGAACTTGCGATATAAGCAGACTAATGATATAAGTATTTGTATGGAATATGACGTTAATTGCAATGACAGCAGCAGTGTGTATATTGTTGTCTTTGTTGCAGCTGTGGACGTTGTAGTTAAATATCTCGAGTATAGTGTTGTCAGCGATGGATTTGTACGCTATCGAGATCAATTTTATCACAAATGTTTGCTTAAAAAGACCGTATATTTTTGTAGAAGTGATTTACAGTAGCACAGTAGTTGAGTCATGGTAATACAATGTAGTAGCACCAAGGCGCGACGTGAGGAATGAGAACGACTGTTGGAATTTAGTTTTTTTTTTATGAACAACGCTGACATGACGAGCTCTCTTGTTCACGAGACCTATATAAGGAGCATGAGAATCGAACATCTTGGTCAAGTTGTAACCCTAGCAGACGGCGATGGTAGCGACTTGACCTTCTTCTACCCTCACATCTGCATTTCATACTTCGCATTTGCAAGAAAGTACGCTATACACTTGCGAATTCCAGCTCGCAACTGCGTTTTGGTGGCGAAGTTCGTTCTAAGCTTGTAAATCTCCACTCCGCAATCTGTTTTTACAAGATATTTCTTTTTACACTTGCGAATTTCCACTCCCAACTGCGTTTTGATGACGAAGTTCGTGCTAAACTTATAAATCTCTTCTCCGCACTGTTTTCACTAGAAAGTTCGTTTTACACTTGCAAATTTCCACTCCGTACTCTGGTTTTGAAAGAAAGTTCGTTGTACACGTCCTAATCTATGCTCCCTACTCCGCTTCTGCGTGCAAATTCTTTTTACGCTTGCATATTTCCACGCCTTATGTCAGTCCATTCATCGTAAACATTAATGCGAGTTTAATACAAATAGGGTATATTACCTTGTTTGTATCTCAGTCGTCAAGGACGATAGTATTCTGCTGATTATCGAATTGAATGCTAGCTAGGGTACCGGTAACATTATTCGATCACATTGTTCTAATATGATGGACCAAACCAGGCGATTCTATTACGTCTCATGTTCATGCTGGGCACTGCTCAATGTATTTCTGTGCCGGACTATTTTATTGAAGGTTTGTCCGGTTCGCTTTATATTCCTCATAACTGAAAAAAAAAACGTTTCCTTTTATCAAGAAACACGCGTCGTTTTACTAAAATGCCGATTAACCTTCCCTTAATTCGGCTGTACGCATTCACGTCGAGTAAGTTCACAAACCCAATTTCGATAGTGTGTTTAAAATTTTAGTCTCAGCTTCGTGGCATTCTGACTAGCGAAGCGTAGAATACATTGAAATTAAAGCCTATTTTGAATGCCGCCTTTAGTTCTTCAGCATTAAATTGTGAATCATTGATCTGTCAGCAGTGATATAATTTCTCTTCTAGTAGACTTGTCAACATTTGGTCAATTTAAAATTTTAACACTTAGTTAGTTTAGTGGCCAAATGTTTACTTGCGCTTCAGCTATCTCGCACCGAAAGTCAAGATTTTTATATCCGATTTCAGTAGCGCCAACCTATTGTACAGATTTTTTCCAGGATTTTATAGCTGACGACGAAACTAAACTCTTGAACATTTCATACGTAGATTTGGTTAATTTTTTGGCAAATTTTTATTTTCGCCTCCTTTGATAACATTTTAACACGTTGATTGTGACCAAATACTAGATATAGTAGTTTCACATCAACATTCATCATAACGATAATTGCAAGTTATCATGTTGCCACGTTGTATGCGCAGAGGATAATAATAGACACAGGCTGAGCGCGTTCCTTTGATTAGGCGCACACGCGTGCGCTGCCTGAGAACACGACACCAAAACTGGATTGATACACGAAATTCCACTCCTACTTAAATGCAGGCAATATCCTAGCTTACAAGACTACAGCAGCAGGCCTATTTATTTACACGACTGGAGAGAGTAACTTTACAGGAGAAGCAGAATGTTGGCACCGACATCGCTTGTCGGTTAGAAACATCAAACACGAAACGGCAATCAAATAAAGACAAAGCAATTTGAGAAAGTGACTTACTAAAATAATTAATGTACTTGCTGCTTTCTCGCACTTATTCGTCTATTGATGTTCGCTGGAAGTTGTTTAGCCTCTAAAGGAGAGGTCAGTCATTCAGCTGAGTGAAGGTAACTCGATGATCGAACAACAGTCCATCAGCGCAAGTTATAGAAGTAGTTTATTTTACAACTCAAGTAATAATGTGTTTACAGCTCATTGAACTCACGACCGCTCGACTAACACCTTGTTTACACGCCACCAGTACAAGTCGTAACCGAAAAAATTTCTACTGGAAATTATTCATTACAAAAGACATTATTAATGTAAAAAGATATCAACATTTAGAAATTTTTCAATGGATGGACGCCTTATACAATTTTCATATCAGTCCTTAAGCTCAAAAATAATTGTATCCCGCCCAAACATCGAACGTAGAAAGCACTGCAGCGAACTGAGAAGTGTCCCAAGCAGGGATGTTTTTATGGCCCTGGTGAAAATATAGCCATTGACTGAAGATTGTTGGGAGGAGCAGTGAACAAAAAGACGAAATACAAACTATACATGATAGGAAAAATTGATTGCTGTGTAGCAACAAAATAAACCTTTCTGTGCATCACATCAAACTTTGCTAAAAAGAATTCATTATTATCGACTTAAAAAAATTGTGTCGATACTGATTTGATTTTGCCCTTCATCAAATTACTCATTATCTTCTAAAAGGACAACAACCTGATTCAAGTTTAGAAAAAAAAAAACGAACGGCATCAACAAAGATATGAAACAGCAGGAGTTCGTTATTTAAAAACTGGTGAGAGTCAAGTGGCGTTCACAACAAAATAAACAAGCAGAATGAACTCATTTGAAATTCAGGAGCATCCCACAATATCCTGGTAATACAGGAATAACAACAAATCTTGACTTGGGTGATGTTGAAAAATTTTGTCTCCAGAATGACCATAAATATTTTAGGGTGAAACGAAAAAAAATTTTGGTGAAATAAAAAAAAATTAATTGGAGAAAGAGCTTCGCTGAGTGACAGGTTCACTCTTCGAAATCATGCTACAAAATGATCGTCTTTTCTCGATTTTCTTGCATATAGCACAAAAATGTGTTGGAAAGGATGAGAAAAAAGTAAAAAGTTTGGACCAAGGTAGGCCTGAACTGATCCGTAGTCCTACAAGTGCTCCAACTGCAAGAGTTTAGCTCATATTATACAAGGGGCCAAAAGTTTCAACTCTGAGAGAGCACAGGAACACAAAGACTTAGAGAAGATATTGGGGGAAGGATTTCAGGAATATGTACATGGTGAAGGGTGAGGACTATCAACACGAGTCAATAAATTATCATTAGAACTAATACTTCTGATCACAACTGTACAAAGTTCCCGGAAATATCGGGAGACAGCTTGGGCTGCAACACTTGCAGTCCATCCTTTAGGATTAATGCTTAGTATTTCTTACAATAAGATCAACATTATAAAGCGAGGCATTCCAGCTGCTGCTCACTTAAAGACCAGCAAAAGTGGACGAAGAGCTAAATGGCTTGCACTCAATCTTTTACACTGCGCCTAAAATCATTGAATTTTCAACAGCTCGAAGCTGCGCGATGAAGGAGCGCACTCCTACACACTTTTTTAAACTCGCACAAAAATAAAGGAAAATAAGCCTGACTGTGGCAAGAAAATCACTAAATTTCGCAGGTCATTAAGATTTACCAGGGACAAAGTTTTTGAATTAATAATTTTTGATGGATTCAATCAGGGACATGTTTAGGAAATATCACAACTAAAAGCACGAGGTTAGGGAAACAATCGATAACATTTTCCAATGCATGAAATAGACAGCGGCAGCTTCTTTCTTCACTGAAATAACATTGCCGCGAAGATAGGAACGAGGTAGCTGAGTTTATTTCGGTATCTTCAATATCTACTCTACGCAACAGTAAGGACCCTCTGGGAAAGCCATCTTTGTATATGTAATAAATAAATACATTAAGATGACCTACGGATAAGTGGCTTATTTTACAGATAGATTCTCACAGTTCTCTGTCGATTATGCAAGGCAGAAGAATGCCTACAGAAACCAATGAGTTATAAAAGAAGTGAAATTAATTCATACAACATGCATGACCAAGTTTACCTGCACTGATGCTAATAAAACAACATTCATACAAATTCAGAAATGAATGGAAATCTGACACTGCAAACACAATTAACATCACATCGAAAAACTTGCAATGAAACTAAGTGTTGATTTGCATGCAAAACTGCCCAGTAAACTTGAATTTGTACATATTCGAGTCTTCCATTTAACAAATAACTTCTCAAAATAATGAGACTTATTTCTGCTTCACGTTCGTCTATCAAAAAAGTCCAGCAAATATGAAGGCGCCGCAGTGCAATAGTTTTTAAGAATATATATGACAAAATAGCTAACCAAAGAACTGCAAAAATACTCGATCTGCTTGGTAATTCAAACTTCGACTTCAAATGAAACTTCCTCTGAACCTGCACTATTTCACCGTAATGCGTAATTTTAAGTTGATTCTTCTTTGGTGTGAATCAAAAGTAAACCTATAAGCCCATGGAGCAAGACAACTGTCGTATACAGCGACTCAGAGACCCGAGCGAGAACATCGGGCACTCTGCGTGGAGGAGGGAATCTTTACCCGAGCTGAAGGGCTGGTCTTTGACCTAATCCATGTTGTCTGTCAGATCAGACCAGACTTATAGCGTCAGTAAGCGTCCATGTCAAGTTAGCGATCACGTGTAGTTGGTACAATACTTGAAGACCGCTAGCCGCCTTAGCCCACAGCCACCTGGCATACATTGGCGCCACAGTGTTGATGGTGTGTTTAAAACTACCCCTACCATCGCAGCATATCTTCACTTAGATATACATCAACCCATTAGATATTATGCAGCAAGAATCGTGCTGTTAAAACACGTTTACAAAAAATTGTAATGGAAAAAAAAATACCTGCGATTGTTACAACTTCCGCAAGATTAATTTATTGTTAAAATTATGTCCAAGATATAGACTTGGTTGTTCAGACCAAAATCCAAGAATATATCGTTGACTCTAAATTAAATTGGACCAGCACGGATGATGCGTCAATTCTGCCCGAAGTGGCGCACGCAGCTACGTACTCCATGAATCGCTTTCTTCAATCATTAATATTTAAGAAGCACGGCAAATCATGCGCCGATATTAAGTATCTTGCAATGCCCATGGCAAATATATACTGGAACACTGAAATCATGAGTACAGAAACACAATGCCTTCAAACCACCTCATATGTTCAACACTGTAGTGGACAAGTCGCAGAATAATTCATGGCTTATATAATGAATGCGGGCGAAAATAACTTAGGTGAAATAATTTGCACTAAAATGTACAGTCTTTGTTAGCGTTAAGAGGCAGGGGTCTAGAAAATATTTGGTGTCGAAGAAATCAATGTCAATCACATGGATATACTTGATACTTTCCAAGCAATACTTTTATGGTAATATCCTATTTACACTAATTGAAATTATTCATTTCAAATAATAATAGTAAAAACAATCGCGAATGAAAAATTTACTATTAAACAATAAAAATAAGTGATTTAGTGCATCACCGAGAAAGTTTGTTGGAGAGCTCAGACTAAGCAATGATCACATGGCTTGAATCTAACGAGAGATTACCTTAAAATATTACTAAATATTTACTTTATGAAAAATGCGCCGCTGTTTGTGTCACGATCACTCTAGAGATGTGACATTAGCGCAGCACATAACTAGCAGCTTATTTAGACCAGCATTACAACGACATTGAAGGTATGAAAATTAACCTGCCATTCATCATTCACGCACCGACATACAAACAATTCACTACATTTAAATACTCTTGTATCAAGTCAGCAGAGACTTGGACGCTGGTAAACATGAGCCAATATAAAAAGGCTGCCTCAAGTGTCGACATAAGAGACACTCGTTTAGTAGTCTTAGATATACGTGATGGTTCTTTGCACTGCACTCTGCCTTCATGTCTGTACAGCTCAAAATAAATAAGAGGACCGCGCGTGAACTCAGACAAGTTCTCTCAGTTAGGCAGATCAATTGAGAATATACAGCCACACCAAATTATAAACACGTCAAGAAAAATAGAGCTGAAACTCGGAGTAAACGTGGAATGACGAGAAGATTTACGCCTCAACATATCCTGAAGAGAACTTCGTGGGTAGAACAGCAATGGAGACAAAGAAATAGCAAGAAAGGGACGCTCGTGGAGGGTAGCTTTAAGGGAGGAATCGCAAGCCTGACGCTCATGGAGAACAAGGTACGCAACATGCAAGAGTAAACTGAAGACGGTACACAAAAATTAAAAAAAGCTCATGATATATGAGAAGTGAAAAGTAGATAACGTAACAGAGAAGGACTAATCATGACACATGATGGCAGCAACAATGGTAATATAACCAAATGAAATTAATCTTCCACTAGCGAACATTCCCAACCAGCGGTCTGAAATTAAAAAAGAACTAGAATGAGGAATGAAGCATTAAATGTGGTCTAAAGGCGGCAGCAGAAATTAAAGGTGGGGACGACTTAAAGCCAGGTCACGGCAGGCGGTGGGGTCTAGCAGCGAGGTCACGGCAGGCGGTGGGGTCTAGCAGCGAGGTCACGGCAGGCGGTGGGGTCTAGCAGCGAGGTCACGGCAGGAGGTGCAGGGTCTAGCAGCGAGGTCACGGCAGGAGGTGAGGTCTAGCAGCGAGCACGGCAGGAGGTGGGGTCTAGCAGATGCGAGGTCACGGCAGGTGGTGGGGTCTAGCAGCGAGGTCACGGCAGGCGGTGGGGTCTAGCAGTGAGGTCAGGGTAAGAGGTGCAGGGTCTAGCAGCGAGGTCACGGCAGGAGGTGAGGTCTAGCAGCGAGATCACGGCAGGAGTTGTAGGGTCTAGCGTCTAGCAGCGAGGTCACAAGAGGTGCAGGGTCTAGCAGTGAGGTCAGGGTCTAGCAGCGAGGTCACTGCATGAAGTAGTCTGGATGGTCTGGAGGTACATCCTTCTCGAAGCGCTTGGCCTCCTCCTGCATCGTCTCCTTGATCTTTAAGATGGCTGCTGATTCGTTCTGATCCTGCAAATTCAAACTTCATTAAAATCATGGAGAATAAATCATGTCCATAGCATAACATCAACAACAAGTTCACAAGACGCAACAATTTCTTGATATAATCAATCAAATCAGCGTAACAGTTGATAGAAACTTGTTAAGACGGTGGCATGTTTGGCAACTACTGAACATTCCGAGCGATGAACACATGAAATATAAATATTTATATAAATAAATAATATAATACAAATAAACCGCCTAAGATAATTATCAAATCAGAGTACGAAAAAAGCCACCAAATGTTGTTGCTTGAATACAGATCGTAAATTCCATGCTGTCGAGACCTATAGATACTTTACACTGTGGCCAACTTCGTACAAATGCACACAATAACCAATTTTTTCAGTACCATAAACTCTTTTTAGTGATTACAATCATCAGGAGTGGTATAATCCTACAATAGAGGGAAATTCGTTATGAAAATATATAACTAAAAGAATATTTGATTGTGAAGGTTCAAAGGAGGCCGACAATGTGCAATGAAATTCGTTGTCATCGTCACGATTTCTCCGCCTGACAACTTCTTTGTCGCAAAAAAATGACGGATAGTAGCAAGTATTAATGCATCACGATCACCACAGTCAACAACATTCAAAAAATATACGAAGCGATCAATTCAACTAAAAAACTCAGTATATAAGAGAATACGTAGCAGGGTAGACAAAGCACTGATTACACTATTGTGATCAGTGAAGTCATGCTGCTTCCTTGTGTATATAGCCTAAGACTTCTACTATAATCTTGTCACAACGATATAGCACAAAAATTACTCTAACGCTGGTTATATGATTATACTTTGTAAATTATATGAATCAGGTGGACACAATTGAGATGCATAAATAACTTGGTACATTTAAGTGTAGAGACAATAGTATAGTTACATAGAAGTATAATTGATCAAGTGCATCAAGACACAGGCAGATATTACCAAGTCATTATATAAAAGGATGCTAGAGAAGTTTGGGAACGAAAACTTATGTCTCGACCCTACACTTGCGCCTTTAATTAGAGTAAATGTTAGTTAGGTTATACGCAATGTAGGCCTTGCGCATGCATCGGCTTTTAGTTTGACTAAAGCGATTCGTGGGGCAATATGAGCGAGTCCTTAGCTTCGATTCTGAACAAGAAAACCCATTGGTATTAAACAATCCTAAAGAGTATGGTTAGTTGGCACTCATTCATATATATAATTATAACCAAAATGTTGAACATTTGTAATAAAATATGAAATCAAGAGCAGTGCACCAAATGTTACACATAGGCAGTAAAGAACAATTAGCGAACTGTACCACACAGTTTTAATGAATACACTGACGATCATATGATGCTAACTCTCTATTTAGATTTAAACACCGAGACTCATTAATATAAGACAATTATGTATCGAACTTGTGCTGCGTTGCATAACTCTCACACACTTTAGACTGGCAAGCCCGTGTCAAGTCAAGCAAGAACATACGCCACACAATACACCACTGAAGCCTGCTTCGCAGACTGATACCAACAGCAACAAAATACTTGCTAACTTTCTTGATTCATTAAGAAGGTAAACTATCACAAATTTTGTCATTGACATGGCCAATTTAATGGAAAATGGCATCTTTAGCAAGCGGTAATAAATTAAAGATTGAAATCCTGAACTCAGCTGACGAAACATTGGACGAGTTAGGCGATAGCGGTGCGCACGCAATGCTGGAATGAACCTAGGACAGACAAACCTGACTGGCGACAGCAACAAGTTTTCGTTTATCTCACAAGATCCGACATCACACAAAAGATCCGACTATATCAGAGTACATGAAACTACGTTTACAATACAAGAAAATTTCATGAAATATGTAGTACTTTTCTCTGCAATATTGATTATCTAAGAGAATCACAAAGAAGCCTTTTGTTAGATGCGATTAGTTCTCTTGACCTTTGTACAATTAAAGCGAGTACAAGGGACAAATTACGTGAGCTTACGTGAAAATACACCGACTCAGGTGAACATATGAAAGAATTGAAATATATTTTACCTAAGTTGTAGTAAATAACCACAGCCTTGCTAGGCATTTGGAATTAAATTAGAACAGAACCCTGAAGATCAAACACAGGTACCGTCTCTGGCAAACGGAAGGTAGGGAGGGAAGGGAGGCGAGTAGAGAGTGCAAGCGACAAAGAGAGAGAAGCGCGTGTCTAGAAGAATCAAGAGTTCAAGCAGGAACCAGTCTGGAATAAGCAATTGAAGTCTCATGAGAGGTGTAAATCATTGGCGGTACCTAGGTGGGACTCTTCTCCAGGGTATCAATATTAAACAGCTTTACAAACGGGTCAACTACTTTGGCTTCTTGAAAGTGGCGTTGGAAGGCAGGAGGAGGTGAAGCGAGTGGGTAGTTGCAGAGAAGGAATATCTAACAGCTCAGAGAATGGCCGATGAGGCCGACGCTCTCACGTTTTATGAACTTGTAGCTGAACAATTTCAAGGTGAAAAATGCACAGCGATAAGGTCACATACTATCCATACTCTCATCACAAACATGATTTGCCCTGCAAGATTTTCAGAAATGAACTGTTAGGGGATGGAGGCGTTACGTTACTTATAAATGAGCAATTCTTCGGGTAATGGAGATTACTTAAGACACTCGATATATATTAATATGTTACTTAAGGAAACTCGACTCGATATGTTTACTTAACCTCCAAGAATCTGGAGTAATCGAAAAATGAGTGTTCTTATTGCAAATATTTACAAAAGTTCCATTCTGAGCGACTGACAAGAATTCCCACAAATTGTAAACTACATCGTTCGGAAAATAGACTACATGAGGCAGGGAAATATGAGTGGATTGTCGGGAACGTGATCGGAGTATTTGGGATAATGTGTGCGTTCACGTGTTTCTGTGAGTTGAAACTTCATAATGAAATTAGTAAATTAGCTGCACGTGAAAGCATATAAGTTATCGCTCATGAGATATTGCTCACATTAATTCATTTTATTCATAAGATGGTGTTGAGTGTGAAAAGAATACTGCCGCGGTGGTGAGTCCTGGTGTACCTATAGAAAAGAATCCTTTCTCCTGAATTCCCCAATTCTAGTTACATCAATAACCAAAGGTGATGATGTAGAGAAATATGAACCCAATTCAGACACCTTAGATACCAAGGTAGTACGATCATTACAAGAAGTCGAGGTATGGCAGATACAGCATACATGCCTCAGGAAAGTCGCCATCATAACCAGCAACAACTACGACGGCTTCGCAAGTTAGCCCTACGAACGCCATACAAAGCCAGTGGAGCTCATTAACGTCTGGAAATGACCATCAAATTACTAGCAAAATCATACAACAGTCACTCCAAGGCCCGAGATATGTTCATATGTTCAACTGAGTCTTAACAACCCACCACAACAAATACTTCCGCAGTGCAAACGAAATGGCCACTGAGAGCGTGCAAACCAACGACATACTCTTGAGCGACCTAACACGGAGCAGCTAAGCTAGAGAGAGCAACACATGCTTAGCATTCATCATTGATCGTCAATGTCTTCACGATTTAGAAATAAATTACCGCAATCAGCGATTTTTGTTTAATTATAAATACGAAATGAGCAGGCATTAGTTATGCCTGTACCTTCTTTATGATAAGAGAGTATTATAGAAGTTATGATACCAATGAGGTCCGTTAGTGGAGGGAGAGCATGGAAGGAAGCCCTTACAATTATAACTATCTTAATAAATCGTAATCACAGTTTGTCCCTCACTCGAGTCTGATGGAGCAAATGAGTCTTCCATAAGTAAAATCAAGCATATATTGTGAGAGATTCATATTTTTGAGGCCGGTAAAATTAAAACATAACATTTATTTCTTCTCAAGCGTTTTGCATTCATCGAGAGGTGAGTTTTGACGAAATTTTGTAACTTTGTAATTTTATTGGTGGCTAATAACAAGCAAATCCAACACGTGGCTTTTTCTCCAAAGCTTCAAGATTTTACTCGTAATGTTCGCACTCCTGCAAAACAAAAACTTAACCAAGAGCAGAAGGCAAGCATATCCAAGATGTTTTCAATTGTAACACTGAATCTCCATCGAAAAAAAAATCCACAGACATGAATCACATGTCGAAGGTTCGAAGTCCAGCTCCGAAAGTCTTTCTGGAGCTGGGCCAGTCTATTTTTTTAGAATTCTCTAAAGGATAAAGGAATAGGTATTATGTTCTTAGTTTTTACACTATTGTGATCAGTGAAGTATAAAACATCTGCAACGAAATAAGCTCAATTCAATGCAGCCACTTGAACACAGTAAGAGATCAGCAATTTGGTTGAATTTTACAAAGTGACTGAAAAACAAAATCCGAGTCAATTCTTGTCATTACAAAAGAAAACATCGTCCACAGGAAGATAATACAAGCGACTATTGCACACTCAAGTGATGGTGCAGCAAAACAAAGCGTGTTCCGGCACACAAAATCTCACGCCAACAAGTAATTTAGGATAGGAGAAAACTCATTAATCAGAGCCCACACAACGTATAGATCTCTGTCCTATAGATATGAAGGCCAAATAACTTATTTTCTTGTTACTAAGGTAAAACTTGAGATCAGTACACTGAATTTATATTCCTCCAGTTTAAAAGGCTATGTAGCCGTGACTAGTCAGAATACGATAACATTATACAGTATTGTTTCCAAACGAACCTAAGCAAGTCTCGACATTATTGATAGTATGAAACTCTTTCTAATTCACGCACTAGCCCAGGACAGAGTCAAGCTAACCAAGAAACGAGTGTACAACATCTGACCAAGTGCCTAATCTTGTGCCACTCGATGAAAGTGCAGCCAAAAAACAAGAACCGACCATAATAATCTCATAAATAAGTTCTGAATTATATTGGTGAGACAGAGGTGAGCAAGTGTGTGATCTAACGTGTTTGGTGAAAATACGTGTGACAAATAACTGTAGGTTTGGCAAACATCTGCGAGG